CGAAGAAAAAAATTTGAGCTAGAGCTAGACGTACGGCCCCAAACAGAAAAACAATAAGTCAAATAAGGAAGAATAAGAGAGTTATATAAAGTTGTTAAGATAAATCTAGGAAATCTAAACTTCAAACGATAAATAAGATCCAAGTTTTTAGACAGTTTACAGGAGATATGTTGATATGATTCAACCAAGATAAATTAGAGGGTAAAATAACTCCTAAACATTTAAATGACTCAACCCTTTCTATAGAAATTTTATTTAAATATATAACTGGATAAAAAATATCTGTTCTAATTTTAGGACCAAATAGTATAAAACATTATTTTATAATTACTAAAATGCTGTTAATTACATATAGATCAAAATAAAATTATTCATATATTCTTTTACTCATTCGTTTATATTTCAATCCTCAGTTTTTCACTCGTTTTCACTCCTCAGTTCACAAAAAATAAAGTATGAAATGCTAAAGTATCATTCATTGCCGTAAGAAACCGTAAATGTTATATGATATCACTTACTTCAAACTTTTGGCGAATGGTTTTAAAAGGAATTTAAATTAATAAACGAACATCTGACAAACAAAATGATTACAAATGGTTTATTTAAATCATGCTTAAAAATTTATTGAAACTCTTACAATCCTGACCACAGTCACCAGGGTGCCTACAACAGTCCCTGCAGTACCAAGAAAAACGATGAAGCAATTTTTGAATATTTTCAATTTTAGCCAGAGCGGACGTCTTATTGGAGGGAGACTTTCGTAACTTCTGAGAAAATGGCAAAGGATGATGTCGAGGAGTGCAGGTAGAGCGATAGCTAATGGAGTGTTGAACAGAGCTCCTATCAAGGCTATTATCGACTCCAGGTGTGGCACCGCTACAACAAATGCGACTTTTGAAAACAAAATTTGCTTTTGGTGAATATTTGTTATAAATAGAAGATACTTTTTAAGTAATCAAAAACTAGTGACAGTTAAATAAAGTTCGATGATAGTTTGAATTGAAAATTTGACATAGGAAATGTTGAAAATGATGAAAAAACTGACATATTATGACGTGAAAGAACATCTTCAAGAAATACTCTCCGAACTTGTGAAAGAAAGCACGATCGGTTAGTTTCGGTTGAAGAATGGACCAGATGAAGTTTATTGGAATGTAGAACGGGATGGCATACGACATGAATATGGATAGTGCAAGTAGGAGCCGAACGACGTTGTAAAATCTAAACATATTTTGTTAGAAATTAATTACATAGACTTGGAACTTTTAGAAATTTAAGACATTTGTGTCTTTTTAATAATTTCGTGAAGAAACAGTCCCAATTATAAACCAAGCAGAGCTTGCTTTTGAATAATTACAGAAGAAATAAATGTACGACGGCATAACTAACATCGTGTTCGGAAGATTCAAAGTTACACTGCTTTTAACGGCTTCTCCATATTTGAGGAAACCAAAGAACCCGATAACTGAATTATTTTTGTATAAAAAGTTTAATAAATGAATGTTTGCTTCTAATTTTGACCGCTTGACCAAATGACCATCATCGGTTAAGAGATCATTTTAATATGAATCAATTAGTGAGTCTGCTCGGCTTATTGATTGATTCACATAAAAAACCAAAATCGTCAAAATGAATTTATCGCTAGTCCGAGTCTCTATTCGTGGTCAGTTTCTTCGAAGCAATTTTATTTCATGAACGTTGTGCAAGATGTTGGAAACTGATACAAGATATAAAATGAACTTAC